CCTCCTGCATGCCCCCTTCTGGAGATCGAGCCCGAAATCTGGGCATGTGCCCTGACCAGGAATGGAACCGTGACCTCCTGGTTCATAGATTGACATTCAACCACTGAGACACACCGGCCTGCCTGGGTGACTTTTTAAATTTACTTTTGCAGTCTTATAATTTATTTGTAACTCATGCTTGTAATTATGGTGTTTTCTTCTAGTAATTCCAATGGCAGCGCCTGGGACTTGTCCTTTTTCTTACCACCCTTTCTGTGGGATCATGCCCCCAAAGAGCCTCCTGGCCACCCTGGGGAGAGCACCGGGCACAGGTTCTGTCTGCCCCAGGGGCACAGTACAATGCGCGCCCTCCCTGGGGGCACTCAGTTCACCCAGGGCTGTGGGTTTGACTCTGCCCCCGGGTAAAGGCACCTTCCCCAGACTCCCAGCCCCATGGGCGCAGGGGGGCTTTTCAGAAACACCCTCTTCTCCCATCTCCTCACTCTTCCCATCCCTGGAATCATGCAGGCTTTGGGGTCCTCAGAGCTTCCCAACCCCTCAACACAATTCATATTCCGTCCTGTAGGATGTCCCTGGCTCCGGAGCAGGATGCTCTGCCCTCACTGACCTAGACCCTGCCAGGCTAGGAGAGCGTGGAGTTATGGAAAGGGGAGAGGGAGGGAGGGAGACCCGGAGAAGAAAAGGGATATGTGAAAAAATCCTGGAGTGAGATTGCCAAGTTAGATATGAAGCAATAAATAAAAAATTGTAACCTTTAGGGGTCATTTCTCTTCCAAACAGAAATATTTATTTCTCCCAACAAAAAGCACTTGCATCTTATCAGTTTTCTGTAGATTAGCACCTAACTTTATGACATCTGGGCCCCATCAATAGCAAATATGAGTCAAACTTACTTTCCCCTGGATAATCAGCTAACTCTTGAATGGCTTTGTTAACATAATACTCTAGAGCACATGTGTCAAACACAAGGCCCGCTGGCCAAATCCGTCCCGCCAGGCCTTGCAATGTGGCCCGCTCCGCGCTGTCATCACTGCACTCCGCTGCGTTTCCATCACAATGACAGTTTATGACTGTTCAGTAAACCATTCGGCCCGCGATTTAGGCTGGATTTTAGATTTTGGCCCCTTCTCTGATTGAGTTCGACACCCCTACTCTAGAGGGGCCAAAATCTAAAATCCAGCCTAAATCTCGGGCCGAATGGTTTACTGAACAGTCATAAACTGTCACTGTGATGGAAACGCAGCGGAGTGCAGTGATGACAGTGCGGTGCGGGCCACATTGCAAGGCCTGGCGGGACGGATTTGGCCCGCGGGCCTTGTGTTTGACACGTGCTCTAGAGCAACATAGTCAATATAAATGTAACGCAAGCCACATATGTAATTTTTACATTTTCTAGTAGTCACATTTTTAAAAAGAAGTGGTAATATTAATTATGAAAATATATTTTATTTAATCTAGTATATCCAAAATTATTATCGAAACATGTAATCAATACCAAATTTCTTACTCATGAGCCCTGGCTGGTTTGGCTCAGTGGTTAGAGTGTTAGCTGATGGTCTGAAGGGTCTCAGGTTTGATTCCTGGTCAAGGGCACGTACCCTGGTTGCAGGTTTGATCCCCGACCCCAGTTGGGGTGTGTGTGAGGCAACCAATCGATGTGTCTCTGTCACATCTCTATCCCCCCACCTCCCTTCCCTCTACTCTCTCTAACAAAACAACAACAAAGCAATAGAAAAAAAATATCCTCCAATGAGAATTTTTTTAAAGTTACATATATAAATTACATATTTTACATTTTTTCTAAGTGACTGAAATATGATAGGTATTTTATACTTACAGCACATCTGAGCTCAGACAAACTGCATTTGAAGGGCTTGTGGCTGCTCTGCGGGGTAGTGAGCTCTGGCGCAGTGCTTCTCAAACTTTAGGGAGCATCAAAATCACCTGAACGCTACCTGGCTGGTGTGGTTCAGTGGTTGAGCATCAACCTGTGAACCAGGAGGTCATGGTTCAGTTCCTGATCGGAGCATATGCTCGGGTTGTGGGCTCAGTCCCCAGTGTGGGGCGTGCAGGAGGCAGCTGATCAATGATTCTCTCTCATCATTGATGTTTCTCTCTCTCTCTCTCCCCTTCCTTCCTCTCTGAAATCAATAAAAATATATTAAAAAGAAAAAAGAATCACCTGAGGCCTATGAACACTCAGATATCTAGGCCCCACCCCCAAGAGGTTCTGAGTCAGTGTGTCTGATCTGCATTTCTAGCAAGTTCCCAGGTGATGCGGCAAAGGTGGTGTGGGTGCCAACTTGAAAACCACTGTTACAGAATGTGTTTGAAAGGGCTCACAGGCCTCTTTTTGCCTTATTTGCCAACTCTGGATAACTTTTCTAACAGCTCCGAGGCTGGCAGGGGCGGGCATGTGCTCTGCAGCAGCAGGCTCTCTGGAGAACGTGAGCATTGGCTGGGCCTCCGGCTGGGTGGGAGCAGCCCATGGCCTACCAGCTGGCAGTGGGTGAGATTTCAGCAGCTCCATCATTGATGGCATCAACTGTGTGCAGTTGTGTGGGGTTTTTTTCCTCACCTGAGGATTTTCCCATTGCTTTTAGAGAGAGTGGAAGAGAGAGGGAAAGACAGAGAGAGAGATTGATGTGAGAGAAGAACATCGATTGGTTGCCTTCTGTATGACCACTGCCTGGGCCGGGAAGGAGCCTACAACCAGCTATGTGTCCTTGACTGGAATCGAACCTGGGACCCTTCTGTCTGCAGGCCAACAACAATCTGCTGAGCCACACTGGCCAGGGCTACTGTGTGCAGTTCTGAACTTCAGGCTCAGAGGGGGGAAAAGGGAACCGACTCTCATACCCCAAGGAGGGCTCAGGCCTTGTGTGGCTGCTTTTTGCTCAACACCGCTCTGCAAGTAATGCCAACCAGGCTCAAAACTGAGATGTCCTGGGGCGGGTCTGCACAAGTGGAGGTGCCAGAAGGGCCCTGGGGCTCTCAGGGAGGCGTGGTCTCCAAAGGCCAGACAGGAAGTGGGAATTGGTGTGGACCCAAAGGACAAAAGCATCCTGTACTGGAAAGGGAAAGGGTGGGAAGACCTGTGAGCAAGGGCTGTGGAAGAGGCCTCAGGGGGAGCCAGGAAACAACAGCCTGAGGCACTGGGGAGGTAGGAAATAAAGGATGTCCCAGAGGCAGAACTCAGCAGCCATCAGTTACTCCTCTCCTGGTTTATGGGGGAAGTGGATTTACTCCAGACCACACAATGAGCCTGCCTGGGCCAGAGCCTGGCTCTCCAAACCCCATCCAGGGACCCTTCCTCTGGATTCTGTAGGTTTGGGAGTGGGTTTACATGCAATGGGCACATGTGAGCATGTAAGGGAAGTAGTGTCCTCTCTGAAGTTGAATATCAGTGACATTCCAGGGTTAGCATTAATCCCCTCAGGACAGGGACTATGTCCTATCCCGCTATTTTGCCCTCCTCAGTTTAGCACCTTATAAAGGACTGAGTATATTAACCCAGAATTTAAATAGACTGGTCTACACTGTGCGTGATTAAGGTGTCAACACTCTGGCACAAAGGTGGGGCACGACTAAGCAAAGAAGTGTCTATACCAGCGGTCGGCAAGCTCATTCGTCAACAGAGCCAAATATCAACAGTACAATGATTGAAATTTCTTTTGAGAGCCGAAAACCGACTTCTGCTCATGGGCCATGAAGTTTCAATAGCGCTGTATGTGCGTGCCCGCACATGGTATTTTGTGGAAGAGCCACACTCAAGGGGCCAAAGAGCCGCATGTGGCTGGCAAGCCCCGGTTTGCCAACCAGTGTTCTATATCATGGGGTGTCTTACAAGGGTAGGGAGTCTTTGCGGTGGCATATAATGTGATATAAATGGAGTGTCTACACTGTGCAGATGTATTATTTGGGAGCATTTGAGTTGCTGCACTTGGGGAGGACCTGTTGGATTATATATGGCATATATGGTCGTCTACACAGTGGTGACGACCTTATGGGGATATAAAGGCTGTCTGTCCCACAGGGTATTTTGTAGAGGTGGGTGGAGTGTATGCATGATGGGTGTGCAGTATTTGGGGTCACATGACATGTCCACACCTCAGTGTTTTACAGGGGTCTGTGTGTGAGCTGATCTGCTGTGCGTGAGGGGGATTTGTTGGGAGATCTGCTTACTATAGTATTCGATGACTACACAGTACTTGCAGTGGCTGTACTTAGGGTGATCATATGTAACATAAAATGGTATGTTAATGCATATACTGTCATATTCTTTCTGTGCATATACTATGTAGGATGGTCACACACTGCGTAATGGAGAGACTCTGTATGTGATTAGTGTACCATATGTATGTGATAAGTACAGACTGTGTGTGGAGTACGTATTGAATAGGCTTATATGAAGGATATACCCTGAGTGTGGTGAGTATACACTTTGTGATAGCTATGTTTTGTGAGTAACAGTACATAAGGCATCTACAGTGTACAGGATGGATATACTTTTATGACAAGTACCACTGTGTGGGTGATGCTTACACTTTGGGGAGGGACATGCTATGAGATATGGACGCACTATATGTGTGATAGGCATATACTATGACATATACATGGAGTGGGATACGTTTACAGTAAGTGTGAGTACCTGCTGCATATGTATACATTGTGTGGTGGGTATAATCATGAGTAATAGGTATATATAGTATGCATAATGGACATATTCTTTAAGAATACACTTTGCAGGACAAATAGGGACTGTGTGATTCCTACACTTGTGGGAGTCTTGTGTGTATGAAATAGTTGTTGGGATGGGTCTACTGCGTGGATATCAGGCATCCTGTGTGTGTGTCGCTTGTGATAGGAATATTGGGTGTGTCTGCGTGTGAGCACACAGAATGCAGTCACTCTGCTGGGAGGGGCTAGCAGGGAGCAGTTGGCTCTTCATCTGTTTCCAGAACCCCCAGACCCTGGAGCCCACCCCCATATTGTTTCAGGTTCTTCCTCAAGTTCTTCCTCAAATGCAACCAGAACTGCCTGAAGAACGCAGGGAATCCCCGAGACATGCGTCGCTTCCAGGTGGGTCTGGGAGCGGGCTCACCCTGCAGACCTGCCCTGTCCTGACAGCAGGAGTTAGGGGCACCCCTGCCGCCTGGGGAAAGGCCTCCAGGGCAGATCGCTGCCCTGCCCAGCCCAGCCCAGGGTCTGCTGCCTGCTGGGGGTGGGGTGGCTCCATCTCAACTTATGCCGGCTGCCAGGGGAGGCTTCATTAGAGCCCCACTTAAGGAGATGCTAATTGTGACATTTTTACATGATTAACGACCCAGCTCATTTGCATAGCGTGAAGCAGCGAGCAGCTGCCCTTAGCACATCCCCAACCTGCACACCCGTCCCCGGAAAAGAGGGGGGAAAAGGCAGCCCCAATTTCCTCCCAGGGTGGGGGCTCCTGCTGAAGGTTCTCAAGCTGATGCTGACCCCCTGGTCAGAACTCTCACTTCACTTGCCTAAGACCCATTCCTGCCTCGGAGCCCCAAGAACAGAGCCTGGGCTGCTGTGTGTCTGCAAAAACCCTAGCCACTCCACCCAGGGGGACAGTTTACCCCCCAAGAGCCCTTGACTTTTCCAGCTCCGGGGGTCAGTTTCCCTGGGCAGTCAGAGATTGGGCTTCTGAGAATGTCGCTGACCCAGCTGGCTTCCCTCCCACCAACCCTGAGGGGCTGAGGCTGTTCCCCATGTCAGTGACCCTGAATTCCAGCACCCAGCCGCCCACCTGCCTCAAGTTGCTGGTGCCCCACACGTTTCCTCCAGGGGGCCTCCCTGCTCCCCAGAGCTCCAGCCAGGCCGGCCGCGGCTCTCCCCGCAGGTGGTGGTGTCCACGACCGTGAGCGTGGACGGGCACGTGCTGGCCGTGTCTGACAACATGTTTGTGCACAACAACTCCAAGCACGGCCGCAGGGCGCGCCGCCTGGACCCCTCCGAAGGTCAGGACCCCCGGTTCGCGCCCGCTGCCCTCAGGCCCAGCCGGCCCCCCGCCCCACCCTGGGGCCAGCCCCTGACCTGGCTCCTCTCCCGCCCCCCAGCGGCCACCCCCTGCATAAAGGCCATCAGCCCGGGGGAGGGCTGGACCACGGGCGGCGCCACCGTCATTGTCATCGGCGACAACTTCTTCGACGGGTTGCAGGTCGTGTTCGGGAACGTGCTCGTGTGGAGTGAGGTGAGCCCCCCGCGGCAGACTCCCCCCGGGCTCGGGGCTGGGCCTTCCTCTCCGGGGGCCTCACTCGCAGGCCTGCTCTGTCCCCTGGCAGCTCATCACGCCGCACGCCATCCGGGTGCAGACGCCCCCGCGGCACATCCCCGGGGTGGTGGAGGTGACCCTGTCCTACAAGTCCAAGCAGTTTTGCAAGGGGGCCCCCGGCCGCTTTGTCTACACAGGTAGGTAAGGAGTCAGGTGGGAGAGGGGAGGCCTAGGGTCCCCGGCAAGGAGCCCGGTCCTTGGTATCCATCTGGAGCCCCCACCTCTGGGTTAATCAAATCTCCTTGTGGCAGCGCCCCCTAGCGGCCGCTCTCCTCGCTGTGCACGCCTCCCACCTCGAGCTACCTGCTTCCCTTGCGCTTCTCTCTCCCCCCCTGGCCTCTGGCTCCTCAGTCCCCCCCAGGAGCTGAGGCCCAGCGCTCCTCGGCCTTCTCCCCATGGTGTCCAGAGCATCCCACTCCTCAGGGTCTACAGTAACATCTCCACGGGCATGTTTATTTTAAAGGTGCCCCAATAGGCACCTGTCCCTCTGCATCCTCCCTGGGTCTCTTGGTTCCTCCAAGCCTCACTCTGCATGCGTGTACACACACACACACACACACACACACACACACACGACCTGAGTGAAAGCCACTCACTGAAGATGAGGGGTAGAATCCTCCATACCAGCCCTATTTGGCCACTGGCCAGAAATCCCCACCTAAGCCCAAGCCACGCACTTCTCCACCCCCCCACGCTATCATCCAACAGCTATTCACTGGAGTGACCCTGCTTACTGCCAGGGAGTTCCAGCCTGGCCGGGGAGCTGAGCAGTGAGCACGTGCTCCACTGTGGAGGTTCACGTGAAGGGGGTGTCAGCCAGGGGTTCCTCCTGCAGAGTGGTGTGTGTATGTGGGGAGGGTGGGGTGGAGAGGGGAAGATAGATGTGGAAGGAAAGTCATCCAGGGAGAAGGGAGAAGGAATGCAAGTGCAATCACCCAGAGTGAGTGTTCTACACTTCGGGGTAAACGAAGGGAAATTCTCTAAATCTGACGTGGAAGGTGGAGGTAGGTAAGGCTTCCGCTGGGGCGTTAGGTTGGGGTGAGGTGCTGCTGAGAGTGCACCTGAGCTGTCATAAATGGAGATTGTTGTGGGGGGTGGGGGGTTTTTTATGGCAAATAATTTACACCTGATAAGACCAAATGCAGATGATATATATAAAATTTAAAAAAAACTTTCCCTCCAGTCCTGCAGAAGCTAATATACATATACAGTGAACATTTTTGTAATAAGAAAGGAACTCCAAAAACATCCAAGATCACCAACCCGAGAGGTTGGGGCTGGGCTGGGTGGCAGGGCCAGCGGGCGAGGCTTCTGGGCTGGTTGCCGCTGGGCCCCACGCCGGGCGCCGGCAGGGGGCGTCCTCCAGTCGCTGTCGCTCTCCCCAGCCCTGAATGAACCCACCATTGACTACGGGTTCCAGAGGCTCCAGAAAGTCATCCCCAGACACCCCGGAGACCCCGAGAGGCTGCCCAAGGTACTGCGGGGGCGCGGCAGGCGGGATGAGGTGTCCTGTGGCGGAGGGGCGAGTCGGGGCGGGGAGGAGGGTGTCCTGTGGCGAAGGGGGCAGGCGGGGGCTCCCGGCCCCTCCGTCGCCCCCAGGACTGCTCCTTGGCCCGCTGTCTCCTCCCCTGCCCCCAGGAGGTGCTGCTGAAGCGGGCGGCCGACCTGGCGGAGGCGCTGTATGGGGTGCCCAGCAGTAACCAGGTAGGCGCGCCGCCCCGCGCCGCCCCGCGCCGCCCCGCGCCGCCCCGCGCCGCCCCGCGCCGCCCCGCGCCGCCCCGCGCCGCCCCGCGCCGCCCCGCGCCGCCCCGCGGCTGTGTGCGCCCCGCCCGCCCCGGGCTGCCCGGCGCCCGCTCTGTCTCCGCAGGAGCTGCTCCTGAAGCGCGCGGCCGACGTGGCCGAGGCCCTGTACAGCGCCCCGCGAGCGCCCGCGCCCCTCGGGCCGCTGGCCCCCAGCCACCCGCACCCCGCCGTCGTGGGCATCAACGCCTTCAGCAGCCCGCTGGCCATCGCCGTCGGGGAAGCCACGCCGGGCCCGGAGCCGGGTGCGTCCCGCGTCCCCAGCGCGGGCGACCCTCCCTCCCCTCCTCTATTCTCCCCTCCCCTCCACTCCCCTATCCTCTCCTGTCCTCCCCTCCCCTCCCCTCCCCTCCCTTCCCCTCCTCTCCCCGGCGGCGCTGCGCCCCTGACCGTCGGGCTCTCTCCCGCAGGCTATGCGCGCAGCTGCAGCAGCGCGTCCCCCCGCGGGTTCGCGCCCAGCCCCAGCTCGCAGCAGAGCAGCTACTGCAGCGGCCTCGGAGCCGGCCTCGGCGGCTACGGGGCGCCGGGAGTGGCCGGCCTCGGCGTGCCCGGCTCCCCGAGCTTCCTCAACGGCTCCACAGCCACCTCGCCCTTCACCAGTGAGTGTCCCCTGCCCGCGGAGGGGGGACCGGGGCTCCCGGGAGCAGCGTGGGGCTCAGCCCCGCGCCTCCCAGCCCATGGCGGGGAAAGGCTGCCGGCACCTTCCCGAGCATCCCTGTCCCTGGAGCATCGGCACTGGCTTGGCCACTGGGAGCCAAGCCAGCCCTCGACGTGCGACACTCTCTCTCTCTCTCTCTCTCTCTCTCTCTCTCTCTCTCTCTCTCTCTCTCTCTCTCTCTCTCTCTCTCTCTCTCTCTCTCACACACACACACACACACACACACACACACACACACACACACACACATATCCCGGGCCCTGGGGCCGGGACAGTTCTTTCACCGTTAGCTCTCTTTGCTGACTTCATCGCTTCTAGCCTTCCCATTCTCCTGAAACGGGCGTTTAACTGGGGAGCGTCCCTCTGAACCTGGCGGTCCGCCAGCTTTTCCTTCTTACACTAACTTCGGGAGGAGGATGGCGCCCCCTGCCGGAAGCCTGAGGGAACTCAGGGATCAAGAAAAGGGAGGCTTCCACCTGGCCCCACACTCCCCTGGAGCCTGGGTCTGAGAGGCCCGGGAGCCGCGGCTCCCTGCGATGGGGTCATGCAGAGCGGGCGGATTCTCTGTGGTCAGACAGCTGGATTCAACCTCTGAGTGTCCAAATCAGGAGCTGTCTGACATTCAGCGCGTTATGTACTTTGAACGTCAGTTACTTTGCTGTAAAATGGGATCATTGTCACCCCCTGCCTAGGGTTGTTCTCAGGTCTGAATGTGTCACTGGGCACTAATCATTCTCTGTCTGGCTTCTTGGGGTGGGGCATTTCAAAGGCAGGTGGATGGGCAGCAGGACATTTAGGCACTGCCCTCAAGTCCCTCTTTCCAACACCAAGTTGTTATAGCGTAGCTATTAAGCTGATAATAATAAAGCACCTACTGTGTGCTGCAAAGCCCCTCCCTATCCATTGTAAGTGAGATTATACCTCGAGTCCAAGTGGACATTGCTGAGCCAGAGGAATGAGGAAGGCTGCGTGAGAAGCTGGTCGTGGCTTTTCCTGTGGTTTCCTCATCTGTCCCCCATCTTATGTTTGCTGTCGCTGAGGATCAGAGTCTCTGGCCACCTGCCTAGCCTTCTTAGCCAGTGGCTGCACCCTGGGTACTGCTCTTTCTGGCTGTGGGTTTGAGTCTGGCACTCTATTCCCTTCCCAGACTCAACTTCTGGAACCCTAAGCCCCATATTCCAGCATCCACACAGGCAATGGCTCTCTGGTATCCTTCCTGTAGCCTCTGTCTCTCCAGGCCATTTATTTGCTTGGGCCAGGCTCCACCGCTGTACGTCCCTTCAGTTCTGGGAGAGCTCTCTCAGACCTCTCTCTGGGTGCCCCTCGGATTTGGAGCACCCACGTCCCTCCTCCACTATAACACTGCCATCAGCAGTGGAGGCACTCCCTGACCCAGGGGTCAGAAGCCAGGCCACCTGAGATCTCCCCATTCAGCCAGAGGATCAAGCATTCTAGAGCTGCTTATTTCCCACTTCCAGCATCAGCTGGGGACACCCTGGACTCGCCCGAGTGCCAGTCCCATCTCATAATATTGTAGTGCTTACCCAGGCCCCCCTCCACTCCTCGTGTGCAGAGGACCTACACTGAACTGAGAGAGAACAGAATGCCCAGCGGGAGAGGTGATTGATAAGGGGAGCGCACTTGCGGAGGAAGTTGTGTGAGCTCTGGTCCTGGAGAGAGATGCCTTGTAACAGGAGCCTTCATCTACCCCCAAACTTTATCCCTGACCACTTGTCCCAGCTCCGCTATGAACCCCGATCTTTGTCTCTGAGTGAGGACTTTGGTACTCTAGGGCCCGTAAATATTTTTCAGTTTTCCAGACTTTCAGTGGTTTTCAGCGGGAATCCTGTGCTGTTCTATCTCTTGCTCATCTCTCTCTTTGAGGCCACCTCCCAGTATTTGATTCTGTTGGATATTCTGGTTTTGCTTTTGTTTTTACCTAGTCTGACTCTGTCACCTCCAAGCCGCGAGAAAGGGTCTCCAGAGCCCCGCAAAAGGCGGGTGTTGGCCCAGGACCTCAGAGGGTCCCAGCCTGCCTCCAGACCCTGCCCTCAGCGGGTCCCCCCAGAACCCTCCCAGCCCCCAGTGAGGTCTGGGCCTGGGGTCAGCAGCCCATGCTACTCACTATGGTGCTGTCTCCCTGTTGTGTCTCCCACTGCCTTCCCTGCTGCACCTGCTCCTCCCCGCCCCGCCCCGGAGTCATGCCCTCTAGCCCCCCGCTGGCTGCTGCCTCCTCCATGTCCCTCTCGGCGGCTGCCCCCACCACCAGCGTCTTCTCCTTCTCGCCTGTCAACATGATCTCCGCTGTCAAACAGAGGAGCGCCTTTGCCCCCGTGCTGCGCCCACCAAGCTCCCCAACCCAGGCCTGCCCCAGAGCCCACGGAGACGGGCCTCCAGGTGAGCGAGGGGTTCTCTCTGCCCCACTGTGGCCCGGTGGAGCAGCTGGGCTCAAGGGGCCCATGCCCCCCACCTCTCACCAGAGCCTCATGCCAGTTGACCAGTTCTCCCCGTAGGGTACAGAGCAAGGAGCTTGGTAGGAGTCCAAGGGGACCCCCTCTTTCCTGTCCTCATAGCTTGGTATGGTCACCACTCTGGATGCTATCCACTGGCCACTTGACCAAGGGAAAGGGGACTCACATTCCAGTTGGAGAAGGTCTGAAAACCATCCCAAGGCCCCACCCCCATCCAGCTGAACCCAGGGCAGAGACCTAATACTCAGCCGGAGGAACCCCACGTGGACTGCATGCTTTTTACCTGTGCGTCCACTGGAGGGTAGCACACACCACTGTGAGGGATGGGTCACTTGCTGATGGAAGGGGACTGGCCTTGGACAAAGTTCAGCCCAGCTTCCTCTCCCCATTTTACAGATAAGAAATTGAGACCACATCATCCCTCCACATCCCAGTTGTGAAATGGTTGTCATTTGCCACTTCATTTATCACTCCTCCGACTCAACATCCAGTTTAACAGCCTGATAGTGTATAGCAAGTCAAAAGAAGTCACATCCCCTAGAAGATGACAGTTAGGATGGGCCTGCTAGACAATGCTCTAGGGTGATTTGAAAGGATAATCCCTCTTTTTGCTTTGTTTTTTTTAACCCAAGAGAGTTTAAAATGTGAGGGGTGGGGAGGACAGAGGGCCACAGATACCAACCATGGGAGGGGGTTAGGCAGGGGCAGGGTGATGGGAGTGATGAATGTCATGGAGATGGGGGAGGAAGCCATGCTGCTGCTGCCGCTGCATTGAGCATCGGTGCTCCCCGAGGCTGGCCTCTTTTCTGTCCTGGTACCCGGCCCTCTGCTGCCTCACCTTGAGCCAGGCCCTCTGGCACACCTCACCTAGCTCTCTGCAGTGCTGGTTCCAGACCAGCGCTAGGGTTGGCTGACTACCTCCAAGGCTCTTGATAGCGCTGTGCTCAGGACAAGTTATATGCCCTGTGTACTGTCCCCAGCCCAGAGAGGCAGGCAGATAAGATCCCCAGGCTACACATGGCTCATAGCCCCTCCCCTTGGTTACTACAGACCAGCCTTTTGAGGATTCTGAGAAGTTCCATTCTCCAGCCCGGGGGCTTCAGGGCCTGGCGTATTCCTAATGCGGTAAGTCTCTGGCCTGTCCTTTCCCAGCCTTCGATGGGCTCTGTCTCCAAAAGACCTTAGGCAGGACGGGGAGTTGGGGTCCAGGTCTTCCTCTCCGGGGCCCAGCTAGACAGCTGTCAGGGCCACGCAGCCCACACAGTGGCCCAGACTGAACAAGCATCAGGAAGTGGCTTCCTGTCCCCTGCAGCCAGCCTTCATTCAAGACCTTCTCTCCATCTCCCACCAGGTCTGCAGGTCTGGCCCCTGCTGGCCCGGACTGGAGGTCCCACCAGGATTCACGCCCATGCCCTGGATGGCAGCACAGACAGATGCAGGGCCAGGGCTGTGGGCAGACCTCAACCCATGGGCATGAGAGGGGAGAGGACTTCCTCCCCATGCTCACGGCCCTCCACAGGCTTCCTTCACCTCCCTTTCTTGGGGCTGGTCGGAGCCCCAGCACTGTGCTGATGCTTTTGGCAGGAAAGCATCCCAGGAGGTGCGGGATGTAGGACTTCACACTCTGGACCGGTTCTTGCGGAAGAGATGGACTCTGTGCAGACCTGAAGCATCAGGTGACAGGAGCACAGGAAGTGGACTGCGGGAAAGAGAATAGCTCAGGGAGAGGTGGCCTGGGACGATCCCATTTGTGTCTGGCCCATCTCACTGTCCCAGAGCCCCACTTCTCTCTAGGGCCTGGGAGAGGTCCAGCAGCCTCAGAAGGCCTGCCCAGGCTCCCATGGAGCTTCCGATGGCCGCCTGACCCCGTGGCTGCCCCCCTCCCATCGCAGCCTGCACTCTCACGCTTGCCACATCATGAATCCCAGTGGGGGCTTCAGGCATGGCAGTGCAGAAGAGGGGGTGCTAGGCCCCCTGAATTATGGGTCTTCTTCCCAATATATGTCCCATGGACTCTGGCCCCCCCAACACACATGACTCTGCTGGTCCCATAGAACCTTGGAATGGGCCCAGCTGCCCTGGACTCACACTCTGCTCTGTTGGGGTTGGAGAAAAGAGAACAATAAACACAGATGCAGGTGGCCACCCGGCCTCTCCTGCCTGCTTTCTTGGCGCGGGTCTGCGTTTCTAGGCTTCTCGTGAAGCCCGTCCAAAATGTGACCCTGGGCAGCCTTCCTGCAGGTTGGGCTTTTCAACAGCCCCAGAGTTCCACTGAGCAGCTATTCCCTTCCCAGGTCTCCTTTAGGTACTGTGTGGGGGTGTGGGGAGAGGGCGTACAGGCTTGAGGACCCAGGACATGGGCTGAGCCCTGAGATCTTTGGCTGGGAGCACATTCTGGCCACTGAGGACTCCGTCCCCTAGCTGACTGGCCAGGACCAAAGGAGGGATTGTACCCCCCTGGGTAGGGGTTGCTAGGAACCAGAATAGAGCAAATTAAACATTACCTAGCTGTAAGTAAGATCCTTCCTGACTAGAGGCTGCAGGGCCTCACTTGGGCTGGGTGGGGTAGCTTTTGGCTCCCAAAGTTGCTATCTGAGCAAGTCTGACCCCAGGCCTAGCCACTTTCTGCCTCTCCTGTCTCAGAGTTTTAGAGGAAGGAGAGGAAAGATTTCTGGACTCATTTACCCCCTCTCCAGGATGAATCCCGGTTGTTCCCCTGAGACATGTGCCCTAGATCTCGGTCCCATGGGTCAAAAAAAAATGGGAACCACTTTTTTGATCCATTGTCCAGGGATCCCAGTGTCCAGCCTGGCAGCACTCTTTGGCTCTCACCTGTGGAAATCCTGTTCTTCCCCAACCCGTGTGCCTTGCAGCCCTCTGGGCAAAGACACTTGCCAAGGCAGATGGGCTGGTCCTGCCGCTTCCTTCTCTAGTGTTCCTGGCCAACATCTGGGACCATAACAGGTAGCCTTCTGGTCATCCTCCCGTTTGTAGTGCTTGCCCTCTCAGTTCTTGTTCCCAGCCTGTGTTGCAGAGCCCTGCCACCCCACACCCTGCTCCATTCAGATTCTGAGCAGTTCCTACTGCCTGGGGCTCTCCACTGCAGCCCACTGGACTGGATGCAGATGGTAGCTGGACAGTGGTCATATTCTGGTTCCTGAGATGGGTCAGATGCCACGGTTGACAGGAATGAGGTGTGATATCTGTCTTCAAAATTCTCTCAACCATTTGAGTCGGCACTGCTCATTCCCTGGTCCAGAGTAGGCAGAGCTGATCGATTATGTTTGCTATTAGTTTGATGGACTGAATTGTGTCCTCTTCAAATTCATACATTCAAGCCCTAACCCTTTCCCCCATATGACTCTGTTTAGAGATAGAGCCTTTCAGGAGGTGATTAAGGTTAAGTAAGGTAATGAGAGTCATGCCCTAATCTGATAGAACTGGTGTCGTCGCAAGAAGAGGTCCCAGAGCTCCCTCTTCACTCTGTGAGGACACGGTGAGAAGGTGACCATCCACAAGCCAGGAAGAGAGTCCTCGCCAGGAACCAAATCAGCTGGCACCTTGATCGCTGGTACTTGTAGTTTCCAGAACAATGAGGAAATAAATTTCTATTGTTTCGGCCACCTCGTCTATGGCTTTTTGTTATGGTAGTCCAAGGTGACTAATATAATTGCCTTTTTCATGTGTCTTAGTTTGGGTTCCCCTAGAAGCAGAGTCTGAGACAAGCTTCCTGCTGGAGCACTGGGGTAGACAATGTAAAACACACCTCGGAGTTTTTCCACCCGAGGAGTAAGGGAACTGGAGCATTTATACACCAACTTCCATCCGTCAGTGGTTGAGGGCTTCTGGGAGAAAGGGGAGCATTACCTTGCTGGCACTTCCAGTCAGCCTCGGGGTGGTAAAACAGGTCCCGAAAGCTAGAGAAAATCCTCAGGCAAAAAAATGCAGGTGCTGACAGATGGAGTCAGACAGGTGTGCACTGAAGAGAGAAAGATGAGGAGATGTGGGTGGGACACCAAAGTGTATCTACCGAGGAGATAGTCCCTGGCAGTCAACCTGTGGAAAAGGAAGCTGGTTTTTGTACTTGAGATACGTTCGGAGTGGGCGTAAATGTTCCTTTATCTCCAAGTCCCAATTCTCCTGAGACCACATGACAGAAACTGCCCAGGTTGTTTCTAGATGCTGGGTGACAAAGAGACCCTTCCCAGCATCAGCCCACTCACTGGCTTTTTCCCCAATCAGGATAAAGATAAGACAGCTGGTTACTCAATCTTCAGAGAGACAACATCTCCCAGAAATCCTCTGCTTTCTTCCCATATATTTCCCAGCAAAACTAGGCTGATGTGTTCTGCATCCTACCTGGGGATCAGACAGCCTCTGAAGCTGCATTTTTGCTCAGACAGGATCCACTTGGGACTGGACTCAGTGATTCAAGGGAAGCCAGGTAGCAGTTGAGACCAGCCCCACTGCTGACCATTCTGCAAAACATCCTTCTCCCCATGCTACCCATATTGGTGGGCCCCTTAGCCTCTTCCAAAAACAGAAGTCTCCCAGAAAAATGGAAACTGCCATGCAGTGGGGAAAGGATGGTTTTTTAATCAATGGCATTGGATCAATTGGATATTAAAGTGAAAAAATTAAACTTGACCTCTACCTCACATCATACGCCAAATTTTCAGGTGGACTGTGGATCTCAATGTGAAGACTAAAACAAAGTTTCATGCCCTTGAAGATAGTCTACAAAACATTTCACCACCACACACAATGAAGCAATCAGTGAACATGTTTAAGGTGGTTCAAATGGACCCCCAAATTTCTTTCCTCTTCCTTAGGATAACTTCTCCAAATAGGAAAAAGTTTACAGATCACGGTGTCTTTCTCCCCTAGAGGAGACTTTTCATAATTGGTGATACTCTGAGGCTTTTAGCTCCTGAGCCTAGGGTGTCCCCTTACATTCTCCCCATCCATACCCTTGTATATCCTGAATCTTCCTCTACTACCACCTCAGTCATTGGATGATAGAAGGGAATGAGCCACCTCCGTGAAGGCACCAGCTTGAAGTCTGTTGTTCACAAGAAGACCCCACCATGAGGGTCCTGATGGGTGTAGGGCACTGATCACTTCTGTGGACACAGGTCCTCCTATCACTTCTTTCAAACTCTCCTCTTCACTCTCATGGGATGTTTGATGTCTAGAACTTGTTAATTGAATGTTGTCTAGCTTACCAATGTTTTCTTTAAGGTTAGTGCCATTTATTCTTTTTAAAAAAAATCTTTATATATCCCAAAATCAAGAAGATATTTTTATTGTTGTGTATACTATAAGACAGCAATCAGTTTCATATTTTTTTGTATGAATAACCAGTTAGCTCAGCACCATTTATTGAAATGACCATCTTTTCCTCACTGTACTGCCATATCCTGTTCTGGATTCCCTATTTTGACCCATTGATTTTTTTTTCTATCTTTATGCCAATACCACACTATTAGAATTACTGGAGGTCCGATGCCTGAAATTCATGCAAGGGCCTTGCCCCTCCCCTACCCACCACCCCCGCCTGCTGCAGCTTTGTCTGGAAGGAAGGATGCCTGGTCTAATTAGTATATTATGCTTTTATTATTATAGACTAGAGGCCCAGTGCACAAAATCTGTGAAAGAGTAGGCCTTTGCAGCCCAGTAGCTGCCTGCATCCCTCCCTCACAGCCACAGTGGCTTCCTTTCTTTTTTTTCTTTTTTTTAATATATTTTATTGATTTTGTACAGAGAGGAAGGGAGAGAGATAGAAAGTTAGAAACATCGATGAGAGAGTCATCGATCAGCTGCCTCTTGCACACCCCCTACTGGGGATATGCCCGCAACCAAGGTACATGCCCTTGACCAGAATTGAACCCGGGACCCTTCAGTCCCCAAGCCTACGCTCTATCAATTGAGCCAAACCGGTCTTGGTAACACAGTGGCTTCCTTGATCTCATGGCTGCAGCCCCAGCTTCGCCTGGAAGGTTGTCTGGAAGGACGTCCGGTCTGACTAGCATATTATGCTTTTTTATTATAAATGTTAAATTAGTAAGTTTTTTAAAATTAGTATGTTCTTAATGATTTTTTAGAGAGAGAGGAAAGAGAGGGATAGAGAGATAGAAACATCGATGAAAGAGAAACATCAATCAGCTGCCTTCTGCATGCACCCTACTGGGGATTGAGCCTACAAACCCGGGTATATGCCCTGACCTGGAATTGAACCAGGTTCGTGGATCAATGCCCAACACTGAGCTACACCAGCTGGTCAAATTAGTAAGTTTTGATATTCAATACAGCAAGTCATCCAACTTAGTTCTTCATGATTATTTGGTTATACTTGGTCCTTAGTATTTACATATAAATTTTATAATCTGCTTATTAACTCCTATTTTTAAAAAACTTGCTGAATTTTCTTTGAGAATGCATTAAGTTTGTTAATCAACTAATGGAGAATTGACACCTTTGATATATTCAGTATTTCAATCTATGGATATTTAGAATTTTTAAAAGCTTTCTTAATAGGATTTTATAAGTCTCTGTATGGAAATCTTACACATCTTTCATTTATTCCTCAGTATTTGAATTTTTATGTTATTGTAAATATATCATTTCCTTTTTTAAAAAATATATTTTATTGATTTTTAACAGAGAGGGAGTGGGATAGAGAGCTAGAAACGTCGATGAGAGAGAAACATCGACCAGCTGCCTCTTGCACACCCCCTGCCGAGGATGTGCCCGCAACCAAGGTACATGCCCTTGACCGGAATCGAACCTGGGACCTTTCAGTCCGCAGACCGATGCTCTATCCACTGAGCCAAACCGCCTTCGGCTATATCATTTTCTTAATCTCAATTTCTGTTTGTGGTAGGCATATAGAGATATAATTGATTTTTGTACAATAACCTTGTATCAAGAAACGTTATAGTAATACTACCCACAGATTATTTTGAATTTTCTTAAATAGATAATATAATTATTGCAGCACAGTTTTATTTCTTCATTTCTAGCCTTTATTTTCATTGCCACATTTTCTTGCTAAATACACTGGAACCTCCACTATATGTGGAGTAAAAGTAGTGCTCGTGAACATCTTTGTTTATTCCTAATGATGGGAGGCAAACTCTTAACATTTCACCATTAAGAATCAAGTTTGGCTTTATAGATAGCCTTTTATTCTTAATTTTTTTAAACATTTTTCAAATAGATTTCAGAGAGGAAGGGAGAGGGAAAGAGAGATAGAAACATCAATGATGAGGGAATCATTGATCAGCTGCCTCCTGCACACCCCCTACTGGGGATCGAGCCCAAAACCCGGGCATGTGCCCTTGACTGGAATTAAACTGAACCAAACCAGCAAGGGCTATTCTTAATTTTATTTAAATTTTTTAAAATTATGAATAGATGCAAATTTTATGAACGACTCTTCTACATGTGTTGAGATAATTGTGTGGCTTTCTCCAATCTTTTGTTAATGTGCTAAATTATACTCGTATGTCTAATATTAAGTGATTGCATCAACTGTCTAATTCCATGTTGTTGTTGTTTTTGTTTTGTTTTTAAATATATTTTTATTGATTTTTTACAGAGAGAAAGGGAGAGAGAGAGCTAGAAACACCGATGAGAGAGAAACATCGACCAGCTGCCTCTTGCACACCCTCTACTGGGGATGTGCCCGCAACCAATGTACATGCCCCTGACGGGAATCGAACCTGGGACCTTTCAGTCCGCAGACCGACGCTCTACCACTGAGCCAAACCGGTTTCGGCTAATTCCATGTTTTAATGGTAAACTCCAGTAGTCTATTTTTTACCCCACTCCCCATGCCTCTCTTTCGCTGTCTTTGCACTACTCTCTCAGGAGTCACCTATTGGCTCTTTTCCTCCCCACTTCTCCTCAAGAAGCTAGGCTTTTGGGAAACAAAATGTAGAGATCTACAATCTCAGAACGTCATCCTGCCACGCCATCTTCAGCTAACTCCTTGAAGTAGAGGGGGGGGGAAACATAAGAACAAGCACACGTTAATCTCTCTCTAAGTCATCCTGCCTCTTCCCAGCTGGCCTCTCAGCTCTGGGTCCCCCTGCTGGAGTTCCAGGATAGCACTCCCGGGTAGTCTGCCCAGGAGCCCCTGCATCCACTTTCCAAAGGAGAAGGTGTGCAAACCTCCCCCCTCGCCTCAGCCCGGAGCTTCTGGGTTTAGAGCTGCAGGGACTGCCAGTGAGAACGAGTGGGAGGATTCTGAGTACACAGCCCCTCTTTCCCCTTCCACTGGCGACAGAACAGAGGAGACTTCATGGCTCTAAAGATGTAGGAGAGGCTTTCCAGCAGGGCAGGAACAGAAACAAGTACATTTTTATTTCATTCCTTGAGAGAAGAGGAGCCAAGTCTTTAAAGGGGGAAGGAAAAACGCTGTAAAGCAACAAGCCTGCTGCTCCTGGGGGCCCAGCATCCTGGCATCTGGTTTCCTGAAGCCCCTCCTTCCCCATCGCCTGCCTGGGGATGAAAGCTGCTCCTGGTGCGCCCTTGGCTGTGAGGGGGCCCCTCGGGCGAGGCTGCCACGGCTCCATGGCTGAGCTGGGGAAGCTGCTGAGCTGCCGGGAGAGGAGATGTGGGATGTCTCCCTGTGACAGGGCTGAAAGGGCTGTCTACCTGGCACTGTGGCCAAGGGCCACTCCAGAGTGGGGCAGCCACCCTGTGGGTCCAGTTCCTGATGGCCTGTCTCGGGATGGAGTGTCATCAGGAAAGCCCTCTGGCCTGGGTCCCTGCTTCTGCTTCCTTTCTTGGGTTTCACCCACCTGGGGGTCTGGCTTCCCTCCACTCGTCCTCCCTCTCGCCACCCTCCCAGAGCATGAGTCCACTTTTAGGGGAGTCGGGGAGGGGCCGACCACTTTTGGGCTGGCACCACATCAAGCCCAGCCAGCGCTGGCTTCTGTGGTGAAAACGGGCTGCCCCCGGGCCCTCCTTGGCCCTGGGCCAAGAGGGCCCCTTTGCCAAGACAAACTGCACTGCGGGTGGAATGTGGCGGAGCGGCTGCTGAGCAGGCCCCAACCTGGCAGACCCGTCAATGGTGTCGCCGCTGCGGTTTCCACAGCACAGGGCCCTACGGGGTCCCCAGGGTCAAGCTGGGCCAGGAGCGGTTACCAAGAGACCACTGGACATCTCTCTGCTCCTGTTGAGTGAGGCAGAAACATCACCTCTTGATCGCCCCTGACAATCAAAACCCCCTAATCAAGCATCAAAGCTCAAAGAATTCCCCCAAGCCCCTTCCTTGGGATGGGGTGGGGGTGGGGGGCGAAAGGGAGTGCAGTTCAGTAGCAGAAAACCATGGAGAGGGGCTGCGGGAGGCGTGTGTACACATGCACGTGTGGGGTTGGGGTCAGGGGGCTGCCAGCGCAGAAGAAAGAGCCCCAGCAAGGCTTCTTTTTCCCTCCGCAGTGCAGCGTGAGGGGGCTCCATTGCCATTAGCTCCCCCATTTCTCCAGCGCGTGCCATAATCCCACTCCATTAGCTGGGATTCCCTGAATGCAGAGCCTGAAATGGGAATTTGTGTGCTCTCTGGAAGAAAAGGGGTGAGAGAGGCAGGAGAAGGCCGGAGAAAGAGGGAAGCAAGAAAGTGCTCTCAGCCCTTGCTGGTT